TCATTCAGCATCAGCAAAAGGAACGGTGCCTGTGAGGTCGCCGGCGGAATCGAATACCGATCACCTCACCTCTCATGTAAACCGGACCCACTGAAGACAGGTCGGCGTGTCAGCACACGCGACAAGAAATTGAGAAGAAGCTCTCACGGGTAAACCGGGCGTATCGTTTCAAAGGCTGAGACTGGCCGTGAAAGTTTTGATTTTCTTCTCAAATTTAGGTTAATTAAATTAGCAAGGTTTCCATTTCAACATGTGGACTGCGAACGGCGGCGTCAATGCCATAGATCATCGTCTAAGAATACTACTGAGTCAGGACTTGTGAATGTTTCGATTTTGGAACGTAGGAATGCGAGAAGCGAAGCAATTCGAACCGTCACAAACGCCTGCGAAACTGCTGGCATAGTCTGCAAAAGTTTGCTTCGAAGTTTGATAGCAATTTCGTTTGCAACTGTTAATCTCAGTCCAATCATTCAAATTAATGGTACTTAATTAACGCTTGCCATTGTCCGAGTTTTACGACCACCTTTGTTCTTTGAAAATATTAGAAATATGTCGAGGAACCTCGCGCGGAAGTGACGGTCTGGAGGTGACACAGGAGGCTGTCCCACTAGGTTCAAGCAGTGGTTACCCGTCACTCGTTTCATATATGACTCCACTTCTCCGAATTCGTTCGACAGATGATTCCGCTGAGTCGTTGGCCACAGTTCACCAGAGCTGATATCCGGAATGGACAAACTAATAAACACTCACTAAGAAAGTGAAGAACAAAAAAGATTGGAGGAGTATAGACTGGCATTCGCGACGAGGTCACGAGGAGGATGAGTCGCATGAAAGATATGATGCACAGCCCCATGTAACAAACTACTACGAATGGAGAAACCATTCGTAGGCGAAACAGGTTCAAAAGACAAATCTACTTGCAGAGTCACATGGTACAGAGAAAAATTGCAGACCGAGCGGCGAATTCTTTAAATATACCGAAGATTCGGAGTATAATGCCTTAGAATCTAGGTCATGGAGCTTGCCCAAAGGACGAATAACCGGGACCACAACAAAGATCATCTGAAGCGCCGATCGGTGCACCCCGAAAACAGTAGCATGATTTGCAAATGAACGGATGGATGAATGGATGGCACATCAGTGGTTGAAGGATGTTAAATCATTAACATGTATATTATAAAATATTACTAGTAAAATTATAGGATATCCTC